TGCCTGTTGTAGTTCATGAACATAAGGCACTACCCTTGTAGAGTCCCCATGGCCAATTGATCCTGAATAATAGCAATAATATGTCCTTCCATGTTTCTAAAGACACCTCCCACACCAGATGGGCCTGGATTTCATTGCTTCCATCAAAGTTTAGTTTAATGAAGCCCTCCGATGGTTCTATGAAAGGATATAACATATAAGGCCCAGTAGCTAAAATGGTATACTTAAACTTATGGCATAGACTACACTTAGACCTTTGCTCCAATAGCTAAAATGAATTCCATTAGAGTTTTGTCAGCTTTTGCTGCTTAAGTATTGGCCCTTGCACCATTTAGATGTTAAAAATGTTTGTCTACATGGGGAATTGAAAGAAGAAGTGTATATGCTGCCTCCTCATGGTGTTGTGATTCTTTCTGGGAACATTTGTAGGTTAAAGAAGTTTATTTATGGCTTAAAACTGTCACCAAGAGCATGGTTTGATAGATCTAGTACAACTATCAAGAGATTTTGTTACTAAACAGAGCCAAGAATATCATACTTTATTTGTTAAACTTGAAAATGGTATTACTTCTACACTCATTGTCTATGTTAATGATTTAGCTGTAACAGGTGATCACCAGTTGAAGATATTTCTAGCCAGTGATTTTTTTTTTTGGATCAATAACTGAATGAGATTCATTAAATAAAAATAAAGAAATTACAAAGAGAGGAGGGGAGAGAAACTCTTTTATCTCCCCCAAGACATCAGCCAAACAATTAGCATCTCTCTTAGTCCAATGCGGCTGAATTTCCATGCCTTGAGTCAGGAGCCTGAATTTCCTTTTTTCATTTATGTAATCCCACCAGCCCATCTCCTCCTCATTTTGAAGCCATCCAATAACAAGCTTAGATTCCCCTTCAATTATTAGCTTGGAAATATTTAATCCTTGGCCTTCTGAACTCCTTCCAACACAGCATAAATTTCAGCTCTCAATGAGTCATCCACTCCAATAGGGCTTGAGAAAAGAGCCCTAATGAAGCCATCTTCATATCTGAAAACGCCTCCAATACCTAAAGGTCCAAGACTGCCCTCACTACCGTCAAAATTCTAGCCACTGAATTTGAGATTAAGGATCTGGGAGACCTCAAATATTTCTTAGGCATTGAGGTGACGAGGCCCAAGAGGGGAATATTTTTGTACCAGAGGAATTATACTCTTGATCTTCTAGAGGAAACATGGAAACTAGGTGCCAAACCTGTGGACACTCCAATTGATCTCAATCATCAACTTAATGAGAAGGGTGGAGATCTCTTGGAAGATCGATGTATGTTTTTGTAGATTAGTTGGCAGGCTAATCTACTTGTCTCTGATGGGACCAAATATTGCTTATGCATTGGGGGTAATAAGTCAATATATGCATGCCCTCAAGTTCCGAATCTTGAAGCAGTTGAAAGAATTCTAAGATACTTGAAAGCTTCACCTGGGAGAAGCCTCTTATTCTCTGATCATGGTAACCTACAACTTGAGGCTTACACAAATGCAAATTGCACAGGGCCAATTGATGATCACAGGTCTACATCAGGTTATTGTACTCTGTTTGGAGGTAATTTAATTAAAAACAAAATGCAGTAGCCCGGTCTTGTGGAGAAGCTGAATTTCGCTCGATTTCCAATGGGATATTAGAGCTGTTTTGGGTGAAAAGGTTTCTACAAGAACTTGATATAGAATCCAATGAGCAAATGAAGTTGTATTGTGATAACAAAGCAGCTATAAACATTGCTCATAACCCTATGCAACATGACCGAATTAAACATGTGGAAGTTGATAAGCATTTCATAAGGGAGAAGATTGACATGAATGAGATTTGCTTTCCATATGTTAGGACTGAAGATCAACCTGTTGATGTTTTGACAAAAGATTTAGTAAAAAGTAAATTGGCACTATATTGGACAAGTTGAACATGATTGATATCTATGCTCCACTTGTTGGGGAGTGTAGTAATACTTACTGCTTTAAGTATTTATTGTAATGGGGGTAGTATGTAATTTTATCATTTTTTAAACAATTATATAAAACCAAATGGGCGAGTCGGAACAAGTGACTCAACACTATTCAACTCATCTCCCTGTTCTCTTCTTTCTTCTTCCTCTCTTGTTCTCCACTCTCTCTTCTCTATTTTCCTCTTATTTTTCAGTTTCACCACAGGTGGCAAAAGAACTTGGACATACACTTGTTTTCAGACAAGGAAATAAAGTGCAGAGAAGGAAAGAGATCCATGAGAGGAGAGCCAACCTAGACATCCTCCCAAAACCTAACTTAGTCCCTTCAACATACACCATACTTGATAAAACTGAGAAAGTGAAGGATGATACCATGGAGATGCCAAATTAGCCTGATATGATATACCTGCATTTCAACCAATAACCAACCTACCGTGTATGCTGGCAACCACCTCATGCCATAGCCTCTCCCTCTCAAACAGCCATCTCCATAGCCATTTCCCTAGCAAAGCAATATTCATCTTACTATATTGCCAATACCCAATTCACCCTCCTGTTTACTCCTACACACCATCTCCCATCTGACTAGATCATCTTTCTTCCCTTCCCACGGCTCCTACAAGAAATACCTCGTGACTTTTATCTATCTTTTTGCTTCCTTTTGTGAAATTTTAAACACTAAGAGATAGTAAATCGGCAAATACTATCAGCAAACTTACAAATATAGGTTTTACCAAAGTAATTATACCTCCCAATGAAATGCAATTCCTCTTCCACACTCTAATCTCTTCATGCACCTCTCTAAGACTAGGTTCCAAAATCTACTCTCTTTGTAGTTTGCTCCTAAAGGGAGGCCCAAGTATATCAAAGGCCAATTGGTGATAGAACACTTAGGAGAGGCCACTAGAGTCTAATTCACTGTCTTCCAAATTAATCCCTGCAATGCAACTTTTATCAAAATTGATTTTCAAGTTTAAAACAAATTTGAGCTTATTCACCAACTCTTTTAGATTCCCTACCAATCTATGGTCTCCCCCTTCATAAAAAAATTATTATATCAGCTGAAAATTGAAGGTGAGTAGCTAAGACATTAATCTTTCCCTCCCTATCAGCCTTGGAAATAAGACTACTAAAAACATCAGCTATTAGGGTAAAGAGAAAAGGTGAAAGGAGATCCCATTGCCTTAAATCTTTGCTTTCTGAAAGAATTTTTTACCGCCCCATTAACTAAAATAGAATAGTGGTGAGATTTTAAGAAACCAACCCAATTTCACCATTTCTCCCCAAATCCATAAATTTTCATAAATATCAGCAAGGAAGTTCCAAGAAGTCATAGGGTTTTTGTATATTCAGCTTGCACACAAATCCTTTATACTTTGCCCTCCTCAACTCCTCCACACATCCATTACCAATGAGAATTTTACCAGTTTAATCTTCAAGGAAAGAACCTTGGCTATTATTTTGTGGATACTTGTCACTTAATGGGCCTAATAGTTGTACTCATCTCTCTAGTTCTTAACCTCATCTCTCCACCTTTTAGGCCTGCAAACCCTATCTCAACACATTAAATGAAGCTTTGTACTCTTCCAATCACCATTCCAAAGAAATCTACTGAATATTTTCAATTTGATCAACCACTGAAACTATAATTTCCAAAACATATCAGTAATAAATAATAAACAGGAATTCCAGAAAGAGCACTCCTAAAAAAGAGTGGTCACCTCACCAAAAAGATAACTACCTACATTTCCACCGCACTAATGTTTTTTCAAGTGTCTCCAAGACAGGATGGCAAGTGGAAGATGCCAAAGCTTTAGCCTCTATAGGAATGCCTAAATATGTAAAAGGAAAATTGCCAAGCTAGCATCCCAGCTTCCATGCATTGTTCCAAAAAATCAGCTTCAATATTAATACTCTACCAATGCACTAGACTATCCATAGGCTGAACACTCCTCCCACTACTCACTATTCATCCTGATCTCCTTTCTTCTCTCTCACAAAGCAATGCAGCATTAAAATCATCTTAGAACCAAGTGTTTCTCCATCTAGCCTTACTGTGTTCAATTTGCATAGAAGCCTGGTCACTAAGAGAAATAATTTGGCCATAAACAACAGAAAGGATCAATTCAACATTGTCATCAAACAATTTAGAAAGTACAAAGATACCATGAATTCCACATTGCCAATCCAGCCTTCCAGGATTCCAAAAAAATAACTTATTCAAATGATCAAAAACATGAAAAACTAGTTCACCTGCAACTGCAAGGCCATCAGAAGGATGCTCAACTCAACCAACCAGGTCAGGGTCCCATAACCAGTCAAAAAGCAGTACTAATATTATGATGTCATAGCTTCACATGTTATTAGCTGAAGAAAAATCAAAGTATCAAACAATGGGTTTCTCTCAATTAACTCCAAATGCCAGTCATACGTTAGTATATCAAACAATTAGTTTCTCTCAATTTCCACATTTAACAAGAGGGAGGAAATTTCCAATATAATATAATAGGAGAAAGAGCATCAAGTGATGGGTCTCTCTCAATTTCCTCCACATGATGGGTCATATAGTTCTACATAATTAGTTACAATTATGTGATGGGTTGTTCTTAATTTCCTTTTTTTTATTTTTGCTCTCAATTTCTACAGTTAACAAAGGGAACAAGATTTACATATTATATACAGAGATCAAAATAATAAATGATTGGTTTCTCTCAATTCCATATTTGGCAACAGGAAATAAGATTACTTACTATTGTAGTAACAAAAAGGCTTGTAACGAGTGTCTCTCAATTTCCACAGGATCATGCATTTTCACATGACCATCTGTGCATAACAGGTTTACAGGTTATACATAGAAAAAGAAAAGAAAAGAAAGAAACCCAAATGTTGGTTCTTAAGAGCTTGTATACTGGAGGATACCCAAGTAATGTGATCAAACGAAACGAAGATAATAGTGAAGTGATTAGCATAGTGCTAGCAAAGCGAAAGAGGTGGATTTGGATTTTAGAGAAAGTGAATACCGCAGAAGAGTGACCGGCAGCTCCAAGGGTGCAATCAACAAAGGAACGTAGAGTTGAAGCAGCAAAAACCTCCAAGACCTCACCCAGCATAACGGGGGTGTGGGCCCCAGAAATGCCGTAGTGCTCCACAAGCTCCATATCGAACTCCCTATCCGAACGGGTCCTTCTCTTCACCACTGCTTCCGCAGAAGCAGACCTCGAAGTCTGTTCTAGCCTTCCATTCTTTTTCTTCTTCTCCTTCTTCTCAGTGCTTTTGTTACTGCAAAACACACTAACTTTACAGTGAGCAAGGCCCCGGGAAAAGAGATTTGGAGTGTATTTCAATTTCGCTGATGATGGTTGTGGGGTTAACGAGCAACGGGAACGGCATAATGAGACAAGAAGGAGACTTGTTGCCACCGCCATGCCAATTTATGGATCCCTTTGTTCAATAGTACAAGATAAGACGAACACAACGGTCCAAAGGACGAGTTCTCCGGCGTAGGCACATGGCCGCCGGTGGATTGGCTGGATCTCTGAACTAGAATGTGTTTTTTTAGGAGAAAGAAGAAAACAGGCGCATCAAAGATCTTATCACAGTTCCACTGATTTTTATTTGGAGGCAAAGCGGGATACACGACTCATTTACAAAATTACAACCCGTCCCGACCTATGAGCTATGACCCGTTTATAAAACTTCAGAAGCCTGCAGGAATTGGGACGGTTCTTTTTTTTGTTGTAAACTTACTTTATTGTTTCTAGGGTAAAATACAAAAACCACCTCTGAATTTTCTTACAATTATAAAAACCTTTCCTATGATTTCATTTTAATAAATATCTTTCCTAAACTTTTGAGAAAATCAATAAATATCTCCTTTTTGTTATCTTTTTTGATGAAAAACATAAAATTGAGGCACTATTTTTTTAAATACCCATTTTACCCTTTACAAAATTACTGAAGTAATCCCGTTTTAAGTGGACAAACATCCTTTAAATACACGTTTCCCACGCAATCACACTTTCAGTCTTTTAGTTCTCTCCATTCACACCACGAAGACCTCTTGGTTTGGGTCCTCTCTCTCTCCTCTGGGTTTGGGATTTTATACATTATTTGCTTATGGATTGAATTGAGATGGGTGATGACGAGCTCTCTCTCTCTCTGACACAACAAAGAGTATTGACTCATCGCTATCTTCTATAGTGAGGAAGGAAAAAAAAAAAACATCTTTTTCCCTGTGATTCAATGAAAAAGAACCAAATAAAAAGATGAAAAGGAAAATTGCAGAGGAAAAAAATCTTGTTTTTTCTAGTCTTTTTCCATATCTCTATTCCCTAACAACCAACCCAGTGTGAAAACAACCAGCAACTGACCCTGTTCTCCCAGGTTATAAAATCGTAGATCCTATAGTACAATCACTTTAGTACAAACTACAAACTAAGTTGAGATTTTTCAAGTTTAGAACAGTAGAAGTTTGAACTTTGAAGTTTCTCCCATCTCACAGTCACAGTATATCCATTCCTACAACACCATGGGCATTCCTGTTGTTTTTCTCTTTTTTTTAAATACCTAACTACTAGTATATAATCAGGATGAAATTGAATTCATTTTCTTATTTTTGATAATTAAAATATTAATTATGGGTTGTTGTGACATGAGCTTACTTGAAAACCAGAAGAGTTGGAAAACTCAACTATAACTAAAAACACATTTTCTTGGGTGTTGTTTTCAATGTCAGTCTTCAAAGTCTACATGCAGCCATGCAGATGCAGTGTTATTTCTCCTCGAAATTAAAATTGAACCTTGATAATTTTCTCTTTGACCCTCAAACAAGTTGACTTTAATTTTTCTGTTTTCGTTTCAGCCTCAATCGTAAGAAGAGTCTAATAACTGTTAAGGGGTCCATGGCTATAATAAACACATTATAGGAAACTCAATATATATATATATATATATGTATATATATTACTGTATTTGCTCAACATTAGGCCTCTGTCACGCTACGTGATAGGGCAGAACTTCTAGAGAGAAGGGTTGAATCAAAAGAAGCAAAGCAATGTCATTAGTTGGGATGGATTGTGAGAAAGAAATCGAAAGGATGAAATAGCTGAAATTGTTTTTTTGTCCTCACATGACAAATGGTGTCTGTAATAGCCTCCCATCTATTATTTGCACTGAACCAAACAGACGCAGATGACTTCTTTGCTCCTCTCAAAGACACCTTCGAGAGGGGTTTTCAGTTGCAAAACACAGGCAGATGACTTTGGGAGAGAGAACAGACAGTAGAGGAATCGTTTTGTGCTGTGCCGCGTTTTAATTGGACCGATATATAGAGTCATGAACATATGATAATATAGCATTGTAGGTTGTGAACGGGTGCGGTTTACACTCTGACAATTAATCAAGGGTAATTTTGTAACTTTAACGATTTTCTGTTTCGGAAGGTAACGGAAATGAGGTATTTATCGAATTCCTCAAAAGTTTAAGAGAGGTATTTATTAAAATGAAACTATAAGGGAGATTTTTGTGATTGTCAAAAACTTTAGAAAAGGTTTTTGTATGTTACCCTTATTTCTAAAACGGGTCCGTCTATGATATCAAAGCCATATCGTATAGCAACCATATCCAAAAAAAAACTAAACAGATGTTTTTAACCTATCCGTTAGTAGCCAAACTTCTCCTCTCTGAATCTACAATGCCTTCGATCAAAAATTCTGGTTAATCATCTCTCACTCTCCACACGTATATTTTTCTTTTTCTTTTTATTCAGTGGCAGTTATTTCCTCTCCCTTCTCATATTTTCTACCACCGGTTGTTGATTCCGTCAATTACTACCGGCAATTTGATTTCATCTCCTTATTTCTTGTAGATATTTTTTTTCTGAACGCAATAAGCTCACCAAAGTCTTCGATTACTGTCGCACGCCCCCATTGGCTTGCTTTGGTTTTCTTGCCATAAGGTAAGTACCTTGGCTACTTTTGATTTAAATATAGTTGTTATTTTGGTTCGTATATATAGCCATAGGTGACTCAAATTGTATTTTTGTATTTGTGTGTTGGATCATGCATGTTTGTGAACAATTCACTTCTTCCTAGCTCAATTTTGTCATTGGAAAATGGATTTAGAAGAATTGATTGATCCTGTTTAGTTTATGCATGGCTCCAAGACTGATATGCATCAATCATCAATACCCATAAGGTTGAATCAGTGTCCCTTCAATAGATTCATCCATTGGTTTACATAAAAGCTTTCTTTCTATTACCAAGCAATGATGTTACCAAGTGCCTCAACCAATTTTCATTTGCTTCATGTTCGTCTTCTTGAAATTGGTAATTGCAACCTTGAAAATGAGTAGATTGGTGCTCAATGTAAACTACAAAATACTAGTAGAGTCAAGCTAGTTGCAAGGGGTCATTGCATGGTTAGAGGTGTAAAACGGTCCGCCCGTGGGCGGTCTATACAAAGTGCAGGTTGTGCCAAGCCGTGCCGCCCTCCTTTGGGATAACTTGGGGGGTCGGCCCAGCTGGCCCATGGCCAAGCCTTGGGCCAGGTCAGTTGGGCCAAAACTATTTATTTAAAAAATTTGATAAAAACTTAAAATTTTAATTTTATATTAATTTTGATGTATACAATTGCTTATATATACAATAATTAAATAAATTAGTATAACAAAACTTAAAAAATTATTTATTTATTTATTTAATATATTATATACTATATATTATTATATAATTATAATTTATATAATATTATATAAATATATAAAATATATATAAATAATATATATGGGTAGTGTTGGGCCGTGCTAGCCTGGCTGCGGGTTGGGCCATGCCATCACGCAGGGCGCGGGTGGCACGGCCCGCTCGGTCATGTCGTGCCAGCCCAGCCCATGGACCTAAAACCCCATGCCCAACATGGCCCGCATGATCATGCCGGGCCTAGCATGGCCCGCAAACCATCGTGCCAGGCCTGTCCAAATTCATGCTGAGCCATGGGTGGCACAGCCCGATTTACACCTCTATGCCTGGTGTGGTGGTAAAGTCCCAAGTTGACAATCTTGAGAACATAGGCTTTGTCTGAGAGCAAACACTACAAAAAAAATGCCAAAAATGAATCTAGTCCACCCCTCCTAAGATCCCAAATAGCTCAAACATACATTGGGTAATGGCCTCGTTTGGCCTTTATAGTTAGACTAGTTGCTATGTGAAACAATTGCATAATTTAAGTACTTCAAATGCTTGCAAAAAATTGTTGATCTATAGAAAAATAATATTCATGAATCAATTAAAATTTTAGATTCTTCACAAAAAACAAAAAACCAAAGTTTTAGATTCAAGTCTCAGCCTCTAATAATCAATACAAAACACAATGAAACTAATGAGGACGGATTTGGCCCTCCAATGACATTATGACACCTAGCACCTCATGACAACCAGGTAGCTCGACACTAAGCAGCTCGCCATCATGCAGCCTGGCGCCTTACAAACAGCTCGCCATCATGCTGCCTGGCACCTTACAGACAGCTCACCATCATGCAGCCTGGCACCTTACAGGCAGTTCGCTTCTTAGTCAAACCGACCACTGCATGACAACCCCGAGGACCTCACCACCATACCCCGGATTTTACGGGATTGACTTGTAATGGCTATATTAGCTCACCCACTCCCCGATTTAGGCGGAAATGGACAACCTTACTAGTTGGTGGCTTTATCCCCACCTAACACGAAAAGCAGGTCCCATCACAACGGGAATCCAGGAACTGCTCCACCAAATCTACGAGGACTCCAGTATATAAAGGCCTCACCCCCTAGGGGTGAAAGGAGGAAAATGAAGGGTGATCTCTACTCTTTAGCTCTCCCATTCTCTAATATCATTTTCAGCTCACTATTAAGTGCTAACTTAGACATCAGAGTGTCCCCGCCGAGTAAGCCACCTCGGGTTCTCTGATTTAGTTCTTGCAAACAACCAGTTCCCACCGTCTATAAAGATGGGCCGATCATCTCCTACAGGAAGAATGGGTTCCTCAGTTCCCGCTGTCTACAAAGATGATTCGATCATCTCCTACAGGGAGAATGGGTTCCTCAGTTCCCACCGTCTACAAAGATGAGCAGATCATCTCTTGTAGGGAGTAGCCGGGTTGCACTACACTAGGGAGCTTCACTTCAGCCTCTGAGTCATCGGCCACCTAGGAGTAGACGGGATGACGAGGTACTTAGCCAAAAAAAATGATACGTAACCAGAAATGGTTACGTCAATTGGTGTTGTCTGTGGGAAATCGCTACTAAAAGCCCTTGTTTCTATTTCCAAAATCTCAAGCTCAAAATCAAATCCATGGCTTCCTCCAGCAACGCTAGACAAAACAACGAAGCGAACATCTCCGGGTGGCAACCCCAGTTCCCGTCCGCCTGCATAGGTCAGATCACCATATTGCTTATTGCGGCTAGGGTCCCAGCGCTGACGATGCCCCAAGCGACTGCACAAGTGAACGCGCCACTCCCTCCTGTAGTCAGCGAGACATTCACTGAACCCTCTATGGTTCTGTGGGAAACGCTACAAAAAACTAAGTTCTCATCCTACAAAAAGCTAAGTCCTCATCTCCCAGAAAGCTAAGTCCTCAATTTTTAGAAACTAAAGCTCTCGCTTTATAATTTTCATTTTTTATGAACTCAAAGA